CAACCATATATGATTAAAAAATATATATTATGTGTTACTACTTTGCAATGCAACATTTGTCCTATCATAACCCTAACCCATGACCCGTCTTCATACAGCGAAATGATTTGAACACAGGTTTTTTTAAGAACTTGTCTGGGGGGTGGGCATCTACAAAAGGGACCATATTATATTGAGTATGTAGAGATGATAGATTGTTGTTGGTGACAAAAAGTTTGGTGTGGTATCGTATGTACTAGTAGGGGGGTCTGGGGGTATTCTTCCCCAGAAAATATTTTGTATTTTTCCACCCCTAGAACTGAATATTACTACTAGAACATTTCAGTGAAACAGATTTTTGGATATACAGCGTTACATTGCGCGTTGATAGACCGAATCTGATCAGTTAAGTGTACTTGCATGGTATGTTTATGTAAATACCACAACTGGGTCACTCAGGGGGTAGAAAGCTTATTAAACTTAGTGGGCCCGACTCCCACGCTCGCGAGACGCTACCATGGTTGGCGCCGAGCAGGGAAATTTTGAAAATTTTGAGTCTCTAGATCGTTGGAAATAGCGTTTTCAGAGTCTTCTTTTTTGCTATTTGTGATTATAGAAATCAGAACTCTATACATGGTATTTAAGTTCAAAAACTTTTATGACCCCCCCTTTCTCTGTGTTAAAACTTTTTTGACTCCCGTATTTATAAGGGTAAAACTTTGTTCCCCCCCCGTTCCCATTTCCCAACCTTCCCTCCCCATAAATAATGACCACTCCCTTATTTTTTTGCTGATCCAACCATTAAAGAGTTGAAATCTTTTTAGCCAACCTCAAATATCAATTAAAAAATAAGTACCCACCCGTAGCCAAAAACTTTACAACCATACGATTCAGTTGTCACAGATGCACTTTACCACTTCAGTGACATGAGTTTGATAACTGCTTGTGAATTTTCTGCAGACTATAAAAGTTCCATGTTGTCTGCACATGTACTTTCATTTTCTGTTTTTCATTTACCCAACCTTTTACTCACTACTCAACATTTTGTTGAAATAATTCTTTAATATAGGATTAATTTGGGGGAGGGGAGAGGGGGACAAAAATTTGCCAGATCTTGATGAAATTGCCTGACAGAAACATTTTATGACATCTTTGTAAATTTCGGGAAAACGTTTGTTGACAGGGGAGGAGAGATGAGGCGGCAAAATCATTTCTGGAAAAACACTTTCAAGACAATTTCATAACGTACCATATTTCTTCCATTTCTTCCCATTTAAATATAAAGAGGAAAAGCAAAAATTTTATGCACATTATATTCTCATTTTCGTTTTGTTTAAGTTATGGCTATTTATCCTTATTCGATAAAATTAAAATAATCTCTAAAGCAAAACAGGGAAGGTTGACCTGCTAATTCGTGCTAACATGTACTGCAACATGGTCAGATAATCCAGGATCTGGGAGTAATGTATGCATATTTCCTAAAACCCTATTATCGGGCTGCCCCACCCTCACCGAGAAAGTTTATTTCGGGTCTCTTTCTAGTTTCTGCTTACGTTAGTACCGCTGGACTTGAAAAAATAGAATTGAATGCAAAATTCTATTAGTCCAAAACAATTTTATTTCCATCCCTCAAGTTTAGAGACAATCCTGGACAAACCAAATTCGTAGATTTTGCAAATTTTGAAACTTTGTCCCCCCCCCCCTCCGCCCCTCCCCCTTTACAATGTTGATAATTAGATGACATATGTTGCAAATCCACTTTCCTGAACCAACATAATTCTGGGGGAAGGGAGTTCAGGGTAAATAGGTGGTTCCATTTAAAAAATGCCCATATTTTCATAACATGTCTTCAAATTTGGATATACCTTTCCAATAGTCTGCGGATATTTTTTCCAAGATTGTAGATTTTGCATGTTGTCGGTCTCTTTCAGTCATTTAAAAAATTATCACCGTAAAAGAATCTTCTAACAATTTAGTTCACTATCATCAGCATGTATATATACACATAGGTTCTTGCGAAAAAACAAACTTTAACATGTTCAAGGTCACCTTTATCATGATACACTGTAAGGATGTTGTGAGGGTGCGCAACATCAAAATGCTTTGCGTCTAATTCGATCATAATAATACCTTCCTTTTTCCAGATCACATGCACCGTGACACATTCTACCAAGGTTGTCGTTACAGTGGGCAACATCGTTACTGTTTGAACCTAATTCTTCTTTCCCAATTTCAAATGCCCGATCATAATAATCCTTAAAAAACTCAATAATAATTCATAAACCTTGTGGCAAATCATGTCAGCCATAATACGTCACGTGTAGTGACTTTATATCTGATAAAACTCACCTTCATTAGTATTCTTTATATAATTGTTCATCCTAATTACAGTCGAACCTATACTAAGCGGCCCTCCATTAAGCGGCCAGTCGGCCACCCTCTAATAAACGGCCACATATCGAAGTCCCGACATTTTTGTAATACAAATACTATAAACTATCCCTCTATTAAACGGCCACCTCTATTAAGCGGCCGCGACCACCCAAAGAGCAGTCCCAAATGTTGTTTTATGTCAATTCTTACCTCTATTAAGCGGCCAGCCTGCAGGATTTACTTGGCACAACACCTTGTCAAGAGAGCCGAAAATAAAAGTCGAGCTAGTTTGCTTTATTTGTAAAATAAGGCTTAAAAATTATGTTTTAACACATGCCACTTTACACCTCAAAAGCTTTACACCTCAAAAGCATTGAATACGCCCAGGGTCTATTATTTGCGTATCTCTATTTAGCGGCCACCTCTATTAAGCGGCCACAAAGCCGATCCCCGAGGGTGGCCGCTTAATAGAGGTTCGACTGTAGTATAATTAGTATTCCTTTACGCTATTCAAAACACTCGTTGCCGTGTTTCATCAGACATAAAACACTCGGCTGCGCCTCGCTTTTATATCTGATAAAACACCCCTACTCGTGTTTTAAATAGTACTTAGCTTTTTCCAGTTCACCTTTCTTGTAATGCAAGTTTCCAACATCAACCGATTTGAACCGAATTTTTGTAGCCCTAGTGCACTCCGTTTAATTATTTTACGCTGTCTATAATGCCAGATTATTTTACTCTGTCCAGCGGTAGGCGATGTCACTCATCAAGAATAGACCTCAAAGGTTTAGTGTTATCGAAAAATATTTTCTGGACTCCGGAACTAGAGATGCACCAGAATTTGGTTCCATTCCGGAAGTTATTTATTGGGATTCAGTAAATATCGATCTGTAAAAACCAATCAACTTTTCCGAAGTCATATCTCTGGTTCAATCCATGCAATTTGCGCTAAAAATCATACTACCGTTTCATTCAGCATTTCAAGACGTTTCTACAAGGTTACTTTCGCTTGTTTGCACACTGCAATGCGGGCAATTTATTTCCCTTCTAAAACACAAGAAAATATATTTTCTGAAAACTGACCCATGATCAATTGTTTCACGTCCGATATGTTGCTCTATGTTCAATATATCTTCGCGGTTCAGCCGCGATCGATTTCGGATACTGTAATCCATCAATACTGCGCCCAAGTCAATATCAAATTTTAAAAATTGAAACAAAATATTTCCTGCTGGCCTATTGCAACGAAACTTTCACGCACATTCCTCATTACCTAAGCTAACTTTTTGCCACGATAATGCTTGGCAAATTCTGAACACTTTCGTCGCAATTTTAGTTTATTTCCAAAATATTTTGAATTTTTAAAAAATATTTCCTGCAAACTGATGCAACTTTCCGGGGGTGTTATCATATTTTGAATGACACAAAATATATAATGTGAAAGCCAAGGTCATAAGCTTTTTAGCGATGCATATTATATCACAAGGGAGCCAATATTTGCAGAAAGAATCACATTTAAACAAGCACAATATACCAAAAGCGACGAAATGGGCTTATTTTATCTGACAAGTTGATGGTCAATGGTGAATGCCATACCGGACAGCAGTACTCGAGTAGGGATCTAACTAGCCTGCGAACAGGCTCACTGGAAGAAAGGTGAGCCTGCACGGAACCATGCGTTTTATTCAATCATCCCCTTTTCGCATCTGCTAAACGCTAACCAATCAGCGTCGACTGCGATAAATAAACTGTCAACTGTCAAATTGACGCCAAGGCGTGTACATTGTGCAACATCACAACATGAACAATAATACAAAGCATTAGCGTGCCGCACAATATATTACTCGGAAAAATATAGAATTCTTCAAATATTAAATAGATATCAACACACATACAAATATAAAGCCGAATAAAATACTACCATTGGCTTTGAATGTACAGTAATACTTGTACTATGACTATGTGCGACTGAAAGAACAATGTTCTGAATATTTTGAAGCTATTTAAATACTAAAATACGGTCAGATAGATTGGGATTTGGAATACCGAATACGTTTAAAATTTTACTAACTGCGGTCTAAATAAATGATAAATGAGCATGTATTTATTAATTTCTTCGATATCACGAGTGTGCCAATAGTGGAAGCCGTACGACGACGAAATTGTCAGCAGTTAATATACAGTAAATAGTACGTTTAATGTACGATATATATTTATCTAAATGACATGCCAGCGAGGATCAACAATATAATTATTCGTACATATTTGGGTATCTTTTCTATGCCTTCGCTTGCTGACTTGCTCACTAATGAGAATAATCGGTGAAGCCACGACGACCTCAAAATGTACTATACTATAGTCTGATGTCAATCCGAAGACGAAGTTCAGAATACTGTTATAGTTTCGTATATTGGATTTAAGCGATAGATTCAAGTCATTTATGATAGACTTTTTTGCTGTGATGCTTTGCTATTGCTTTTGGTTTCCACTTCTAGTTTTATTTGTTCGATAGTCTCATAGTCCTATAATATATAATATTAAAATGAATAAAGTTCAAATTCTTCAAAATGCTGTTGTTGACATTTGCTATTTTTAGTAATTTTGTCAACGAGTGTAAGCCAATCAGAAGCCTGCGTTTCTATACGAACGCCACTACCAAGAAAACCTATCATCCGTGCAGGCCCTCTATTCTTCGCGCCGCCCGCAACCCAGGGCCTGTTCGCAGGCTAATATTAAATCGATTCAGGTCAATTTGGCTACTGTTTCCTCTAATGATGCTTTTTCGATGCTTTGCATGGCCACATTCTGTCCAAAGAACAATCAAGATAAACTTTTAGAATGTTTTTACATGGCTTGATTCCTCGTTTGTGTGACCAGCTACAAAATTGTGAGAACTATAAAGTAGCAAATATATTCCTGAGCATATTTGATCGGATTTTTATAAACCACTACACCAGAAAAATGTCGGCATTGTTGGAAAATGCTGTGATTTTGCGTGAAGTTCAACGCTCGAACTCTGCACAGAAACTGTACGGAAAATATAAAGTTAAACTTTATTTAACAGTCGGAGCATTTTCCTACACCAGAGACTTTATAATACTATTAAAGATGCGGTACAGTCCAATCTGTGCATGTGCACAAAGGAGCCCTCTTTTTATGTACAAACAGTTTATTTAGGTTTTTATTTCATTTTATGTTCTTGCAAAGCTTGATTGTTGTCTCTTGATAATTTCTAGAATCATGAAAATATAAATAGTTGTGGAATAAAATTCAATATTTTGGATACCAAAATGTAAACAGAGCCTTTGTTTACATACGGACTGTACCGCATCTTTAAAGTCTAGCATTAATTAATAATGAAAGGCAGTCAAAGAAAAAGGCATTGAGAAAGGGGATGCGATAACATATAAAACTTGATAAACTTATTATTAATTGTTAAAGATTGTCAGAAGTTCAGAACACTGTTTCCATAATTCAATAACTGTATCATATATTATACAATAATTACATTGTTTGTAATTAAACCTTATTGGCTGGTCGAAATAGAAGTGATTCGATTATGGTAATCTGCCACCATTCAGTACAACCCTGCCCCACAGTAGGCGGATCACACCACACTAAGGGGACGATTACATGGAGCACTTTCAACCACAGGGTTGAACTCAGCCATGTTTACATAACTGAGTTGAATATTTTGCGATTACATGGACAATCTCAACCCCAGGGTTGAAATGCTATACATTCCCGGAAGTGAAAATAAAAACCAGCTTCAACAAATGCTTGAGTAACTCATGAATAATTTCAGCCCTGGGTTAAAACGATTACATGATAAAATTTTCAACCCAAGGCCAAGTCCAACCTGGGGTTGAAATTTAACTCTGCTAGCTGAAGTGGGGTTGAACTTGGCCCTGAATTGAAAATTTTGAAATCATGCATTTGATTTTGATAGCATTTTGTATTACAGACAAGGGCGGCAAGGGTCCAGCCCAGGCCTCGTTTGTAGGCCCCAACTGTAGGTCTGTAGGCCCCAACTGCAGATCTGTAGGAGACAACCCCAGGGTTGAAAATGCTCCATGTAATCAGCCCCTAATTAACCCATTAAAACTTTGATGTATCCTGATTTGACTTTATTTCTGTTGAATACCAGATAATATAATATCATGGCCTTAATTCACCAATCTTGCTATGAAAATTGAGTGACCACAAAAATATTTACATGCAATATACCACTTTTGGAACAAAACAAGCATATATAGACCATTTTCATATGATAGTGAAAAACTTTAAAGACTTTTTTTGCATTTTAAATTGCTTTTTGAGCCTTGGAACTCCTTGGTTATATTGTATTTCTTCTACTTTCCATATTTGCATATTATCTAAATCTGCCATCAGTTTTAATTTCAATACTGGACACACCAGCTACCTCGCCAACCACTGAACAAACGTATGTAATTCGAAGCTTGTAGCTTGTTTATCTGGTATTTATACGTTGTGAATGCGACACTCAGCCTTGGGAACTTCGTGATTTATTGTAGGTAAATATTCAGTGATACGCTACCAGTTATAAAATCTTTCGTTTGGGGTCTACAGAAGATAGACAATTAATAGACATGGGATATGTAAATATGCAAATACAATGCCCTCTTTGTTTATATCTGATCACACAAGCGCATGCATAAAATGCAAAATTTACAATG